AAAATCCTAAACTATAATGTTATTGAATTAATATTGTTCGTGTATCTTAAATGTTCATGAATTCCAATTCTTTTTCCAAATTTTAGTAATATTTCATGAATTTTAGGTAAAAAAGGGAAAAGAAATAATGGAAAAAGGGAAGAAAACCATAGAAAATGAGCTATAAATCATAATAGAACCGAAGAGTCATCCACATCCACTCCGCTTCCACCCCTATATGCGAGCACAAAACAAATTCCTATAGAAAGAGTTATGTTTTTTTTATATTGTAACTTATGTGAGAAAGTCATTTTGTAATTTCCACATAGATCGCAAATGCCCAGATTATATTTATTTAGTTATTTTGTGAACTTTATAAAAAACAAGTTTCAAAACCTGAAAGTGTGACGGGTTCATCAATTTATTTAGTTATTTTGCGACCTTTACAAAAAACAAGTTTTGAAACCTGAAAGTGTGACTGGTATGTATGAAACGAACCAAGAAAGATGTGCGTGGGGATGGGAAATCCGTGTGATGCAGGGGGGAGTGGGGTGGAGGGCGTGGCCCCTGCTCGCCCCCTAGCTCCGGCCCCACGTTCAATGCCAACCGGGGCGCCCTCCTTTGACCCGTTGAGATTGTTCCGGTGGTGGTCGCCCACCTTTGTCATCACCACGAGGTGAATGGTCGTCATGATGACAGGATGTACTGCCACCGTCTACTGCTTCTACCATAGCCGCCATTGCTCCACGACACGTCGATGATGTCACGACAGTTTGAGGACGCGTTTGTTCTGCATGCGTTCATCAGGCATGGGTTGACCAGGGTCCGAAGTCCGAACCAACCACACCGCCCCTGGGAGTCCGGGTCATGTCTTAGTTTCAGTGGGTTGATCATCCAAAAAGACCAGGCAAGGCATCATTAGCTTGGTCAGTCTTTTTCTGATGCTTAATGTGGAGTACTATATAGGCTCATCAAACCACGCTTTTGAGCTTTTCCGGGTTTGAGATTTGGTCTCTACTATTCCACAAATTCCCACGTAGTATGCAAACATTCGTCACTTTGTTTCCAACTATTCTGATTAAACCATGGACCTTCAAAGTGAGTGACCATCTAGAAATAATCTTTTTTTTTTTAGAAATAACCGATAAGCCTAAGAGAGGCCCAAGCTAAACTAGCCGTCTGCACGTCAAATCTGGCCCACTTAGGTGTTCCGTTGAGCACTTTTCTACCCACTCAGGTGTTCCGTTGAGCACTTTTCTAAGTGACTTTTAGGAGCAATTTTCGTAACTTCGCTCCTCTTTGATTTTCCAGTCGGGTTTCTTCGAAAAAATGGCTATTAGATTTTTTTTCAAAGATTAAAAAAGAAAGTATTTCATTTTTAAAGAATTTAGATCATGTTCACATTTTTAAAAATATTCATGACTTCAAAATATCCACAAATTGTACAAATGTTCATGAATTTTTTTAAAAAAATCCTAAACTATAATGTTATTGAATTAAAATTGTTCGTGTATCTTAAATGTTCATGAATTCCATTTTCCCCCCAAATTTTAGTAATATTTCATGAATTTTAGGTAAAAAGGGAAAAGAAATAATGGAAAAAGGGAAGAAAACCATAGAAAATGAGCTATAAATCATAATAGAACCGAAGAGTCATCCACATCCAATCCGTTTCCACCCCTATATGTGAGCACAAAAAAAATTCTTATAGAAAGAGTTATGTATTTTTATATTGTAACTTATGTGAGAAAGTCATTTTGTAATTTCCACATAGATCGCAAATGCCCAGATTATATTTATTTAGTTATTTTGTGAACTTTATAAAAAACAAGTTTCAAAACCTGAAAGTGTGATGGGCTCATCAATTTATTTAGTTATTTTGCGACCTTTACAAAAAATAAGTTTTGAAACCTGAAAGTGTGACTGGTATGTATGAAAGGAACCAAGCAAGATGTGTGTGGGGATGGGAAATCCGTGTGATGCAGGGGGAGTGGGGTGGAGGGCGTGGCCCCTGCTCGCCCCCTAGCTCCGGCCTCACGTTCAATGCCAACCGGGGCGCCCTCCTTTGACCCGTTGAGATTGTTCCAGTGGTGGTCGCCCACCTTTGTCATCACCACGAGGTAAATGGTCGTCATGATGACAGGATGTACTGCCACCGTCTGTTGCTTCTACCATAGCCGCCATTGCTCCACGACACGTCGACGATGTCACGACAGCTTGAGGACGCGTTTGTTCTGCATGCGTTCATCAGGCGTGGGTTGACCAGGGTCCGAAGTCCGAACCAACCACACCGCCCCTGGGAGTCCGGGTCATGTCTTAGTTTCAGTGGGGCTGATCATCCAAAAAGACCAGCCAAGGCATCATTGGCTTGGTCAATCTTTTTTTGATTCTTAATGTGGAGTACTATATAGGCTCATAAAACCACGCTTTTTGAGCTTTTTCGGGTTTGGGATTTGGTCTCTACTATTCCACAAATTCCCACGTGGTATGCAAATGTTCGTCACTTTGTTTCCAACTATTCTGATTAAACCATGGACCTTGAAAGTGAGTGACCATCTAGAAATAATCTTTTTTTTCTAGAAATAACCGATAAGACTAAGAGAGGCCCAAGCTAAACTAGCTGTCTGCACGTCAAATCTGGCCCACTCAGGTGTTCCGTTGAGCACTTTTCTAAGTGACTTTTAGGAGCAATTTTCGGAACTTCGCTCCTCTTTGATTTTCCAGTTGGGTTTCTTCGAAAAAATGGCTATTGGATTTTTTTTCAAAGATTAAAAAAGAAAGTATTTCATTTTTTAAAGAATTTAGATAATGTTCACATTTTTTAAAATATTCATGACTTCAAAATATCCACAAATTGTAAAAATGTTCATGATTTTTTAAAAAAAATCCTAAACTATAATGTTATTGAATTAAAATTGTTCATGTATCTTAAATGTTCATGAATTCCAAAAAATTTCCAAATTTTAATAATATTTCGTGAATTTTAGGTAAAAAAGGGAAGAAAACCATAGAAAATGACCTATAAATCATAATAGAACCGTAGAGTCATCTACATCCAATCCGTTTCCACCCCTATATGTGAGCACAAAAACAAATTCCTATAGAAAGAGTTATGTATTTTTTATATTGTAACTTATGTGAGAAAGTCATTTTGTAATTTCCACATAGATCGCAAATGCCCAGATTATATTTATTTAGTTATTTTGTGAACTTTATAAAAAACAAGTTCCAAAACCTGAAAGTGTGATGGGTTCATCAATTTATTTAGTTATTTTGCGACCTTTACCAAAAACAAGTTTTGAAACCTGAAAGTGTGACTGGTATGTATGAAAGGAACCAAGCAAGATGTGTGTGGGGATGGGAAATCCGTGTGATGCGGAGGATCTAAATGTGTTCTATGCTTCCACAACAATCACCATATGGAACGGGACGAGGACTCCATTTTGGGACTCTCCTTGTCTTCTTGGGCGCAAGCCTAAGGAAATTGCTCCGCTCATATTCGATGCCTCCTCGAGAAAGAATTGGATGGCGTGCGTGCCCTAAAGAACAAGGTGTGAATTCTCAAGATCAACCCTCTAAGTTGTCTCTGTTGAGCACACCCGATAATTCTTCACCCTTTGGAAGCTTGTCCACGAGACGCAACTTGATGAGTCCGTCAAGGATGACATTGTGTGGAAGCATACGACTAGTGGCACTATTCGGCGGCCTCCGCTTACAAGACGCGATTCCTTGGCATGGCCTTCTCTCCTTTGGACGTGGTTGGCTATTCAAGATTGAATTTGGACCGCCGATAGGTTGAAAAAGTGGGGATGGATAATTGCGGGCTTTGCCCTCTCTGCAAGAGAGTACAAGAGTGCAGCACACACCTCTTATTTTAATGTCGTTACACCTTGAGGCTTTGGGGATTGGTCATTGGAAAGCTAGGGCTTGAGGATTTGGAGTGGCCTCTTGGCATTTGGAGGGCTCCGTAAAGGATTGGTGGGCAAGCTAGTAGAACCGGTGCCGGCACCAAGTAGAACGGGCTTCGCTTACCATGCTTATATCGTGGGCCATATGAAACAAGCGCGCCGTCAACAATTTTGCTAAACAACATCATGACCGAGGCAAATTTTTGGGTCACCGCCAGAGCAAAGAAGTTAGGGTCGATCATGTCGCGAGAATAATAGTTCATGTCGTGTTTTGGTGGTTTGTAACAAACTCTACGCTCTTCTTAATTAACGGATGAGACAAATCTTTTGTCTCCGTTTTGAAAAAGAAAAGAGTTCTGAATTCCGACAAACGACCAGAGTTCTGAAGATGCTCTCCCTACTCATACATGGAGTTCAGAATTCAGATATCAGAACCTTCGGAGTACTAGCAAGCTGCTCCACTGGGTGTCAGTCACGCCTGTTTTGTTCGGTCGTGTGCCGCCGGTCTCGGCGCAGGTTCTGTCGGGTTTGTCCCTGCCGCCGTCTTCCACTCCCACCACAGCCGCTGCCGCCGTGGCGTCCCCGCTCGTCGGACTCCACGTCGGCCTGACAAAGACGCCGCCGGAGGACGCGGTAATTTTGTTCTCCGTTCACAAGGCGCCAACAGCCGGTCCCAATCATGATGGACACATCGCTCTGCTCGATTCAGTTGCTCGGAATGTTCTAGCCACGCACTGTGTTTAGTTCAGTTGACATAAAGAATTCCGAATGTGGAAGCCTGGAGGCCATCTCTCCCGGCCATTTGGAGGCATCTGCTTGGAATTGGGGGAGACCTCCATGCGTTGAAGTTGCCAGTAGGTTCGAGCTCGACGTCTCGCTCGTCAATGGCGCCGTTCGTGCCCACAGCTCGGTAACAAAATCGTATAGAAATGAAGAGTCGTTGTAGCCATTGTCACTGCGCACAATGCGAAATGTTTACCCCTGCCTATAAATTGGCTCTCCTCACCAAGAACACCTCATCTCACTCACGCTTGATCCGTCGATCTCTAGGTGATAATAACGAGATTAGCTCAGCTTAGCTCGGGAGCAGCAAGTAGCTGCTGATCAAGAGCCATGGCTGCCAGTTCCGAGCTTGCGATTTTGGTGGCATGCGCGCTGCTGTTAGCTGCGGCGTGCGGAGGTGCCCCCGACGACGTGCCCGAGCTCGAGGTCGGGTACTACGAGGAGACGTGTCCCGAGGCGGAGTCCATCGTGAGGGCCGCCGTGAGCGAGGCCGTCGCCGCGGACGCCGGCGTCGGCGCCGGCCTCATCCGCCTCCTCTTCCACGACTGCTTCGTCCAGGTACACACACACATTCAAGCATGCGCATGCACGCGCACTAGCAAATACTCGCATTGCTCACTGAGTTGCTGACACGTATGCGCGTGTAATGGTGCGCAGGGCTGCGACGCGTCGGTGCTGCTGGACCCGACGGCGTCGAACCCACGGCCGGAGAAGCTCGGCCCGCCCAACTTCCACAGCCTGCGGGGCTTCGAGGCGATCGACGCGGCTAAGGCCGCCGTGGAGGAGGCGTGCCCCGGCACCGTCTCCTGCGCCGACATCGTCGCCTTCGCCGCGCGCGACGCGTCCTACCTCCTGAGCGGCTACCGCGTCGACTTCACGATGCCGGCGGGCCGCCTCGACGGCCGGCGCTCGAATGCCTCAGACACGGTCCCGTCCCTCCCCCCGGCGTCCGCCAGCTTCACCGAGCTTGTCGACAATTTCGCCAGGCAGGGCCTCGACGCGGAGGACATGGTCGTGCTCTCCGGCGCGCACTCCGTCGGCCACGCCCGCTGCTCGACCTTCGCCGCGGGCCGCACGGCCGTCGACGCCGACGCCGACATCGACCCGTCGTTCGCGAGGTCGCTGCGGAGGAGGTGCGCCCGGGCGGGGAACAGCACCGACGGAAAGGAGCAAGACGAGCCGACGGTGAGCCAGGACACGGTGACCCCGACGGAGCTGGACAGCCAGTACTACCGCAACGTGCTGAAGCGCAGGGTGCTGCTCGCCTCCGACGCGGCGCTCCTGGAGACCCCGGAGGCGGCGCGGATGGTGCGGGACAGCGCGAGCGTCGGCGGGCGGTGGGAGAAGAAGTTCGCGAAGGCCATGGTGAAGATGGCCGGCATCGGCGTGAAGAAGGCCGGCCGCCATGCCGAGATCAGGGCGAACTGCAGGGTCGTCAACTACTGAAAGCCATTAACGTATGGTGCCGTTGTGCATGCGTCCATTGTTCCATATATGATTTGTCCCGTTCCCGTCACCCTGTGAAGCATTATTTTCAGTTCTTTATTTGTTGGTTTCGTTCTTGCGAGCTCGCCGTCTCGTCTGTTGATTCGTTGATTTGTCCACGCAAAAATGAATAAAATATATTCTCTGGTGTTGATGTTTTGATTGTTTTCTCCGAAGACTTCTGAATTCTGACGCTCGCTCTTTGGCAACGGACAACAAAGAACACTTCCGTGCGTCTCACGGGCAGGGCAGCCGCTCCAGTTGTCGCGAAAGGAAATCTCATGCGTGACAAGCTCCAAAAAAAAAGTGACAAATAATTATAGTATTATTATTTTGTTTCAAAGTTTGTGCTAGATACTCTCGTTAGAGCATCTCCGGCTGTTGGACCCCAGGGGACACGTAAAATCGCCGTCGGGGAGCGAGCCCGCGCAAAAAGTCGGTCTGGGGACGAGTGGGTTCCCAGCCGCCGATCCCAGGGCCGCCCCCAGACGCCGTTTAAGTTAAAAAAAAACATTCGGCAAAGTTCAGCTAAACTCGGCTAAAATTCGGCAAATTTGGCATATATTAGACATGTTCGGCAATTTACATAGCAAATTTATCTAAAAAAAGGTCAAAACTACAACTAAGGGGCGAAGAAGTCGCTAAACGCGGCGTAGTCGCCGCCGTCGGCGGCGGCGGCCCTCTCCTCCTTGACGCGGCCGCCCTTGCTGGACCCCTGCCCAGCGTCGCCATGGCAGACTGGTGGCGGTGGCGGCGCATCGTCGTCGTTGCTGTCGTCGAGGACGACGAGCCTCCTTCGTCGCGGCCCCGACGGCGCTGTTCGTAGTGCTGCAGGGCGGCGCACTGGCGCTCCTTCTCCATCTTGAGATAGTCGCGTGCGCCCATTTCAAGGCCGCCTCCTCGTTGAGCTCCACGTCGCCGTGCTCCGTCTTCACGGCGGGGAGCCCTGGCTCCGTTTTCACGGCCACGAGCCCCGGCTCTGTCTTTGGTTTGATGAAGCGTGGAGGAGCCGACGAGGAGGCGCGCCGGCCGCCCTCGTTTATGACGATGCTGGCGCTGCGAGTGCACCGGCCGAACGGCGTCTCCGCTGCGGGCTCGGCCTTGACGCCGAGCAACGCCGGCGAGCCGGAGGAGTGAGAAGAAGAACGGTAGGAGGAGTGCGAGAAGGAAGTCGACGAGGAACCGAACCTCCTGGGCATCCATTGCCCTCCGCGCAGGCGGTGGGCCGAGGCGGTCGCCGTGGCAGGGTATGCCAGCGGCAGTTCGTTGCCGCCCTCGAGGTACGATAGCACGCCGTCGAGCGTGCGGCCCGGGGTGCCCCACCACACACGGCGCCCCTCGCTGTTCTTGACGCCGCCCACCACCGGCGCCCCGTTGGTGGACGCCAGCCTCGGCTCCTGGCGGCGCTGGAAGTACGCTGCCCTCGCCGTGTGGTTGTCGACAGCGTACTGGGGGAGGGCGAGCTGCTCCTCTATGAGGGAGGCTCGCACGCGGTCGATCTCGGCGACGAAGTAGGCGGGGCGTGCCTCGACGTTGGGCACCAGGGGAATGGGCACTCCCCCATTGCTGAGTCTCCACCCCGTCGGCCTGGCGCGCATGTTCGGTGGCGCCGAGATGTTCGCCTTAAACAGGAGCCACGCCTCCCACTCGTGAAGTGAGCGGCGGCCGAAGCCGTTGGCCGCCGCCGCGTTGCCGAGGAAACGCGCGGCCATCGGGCTTGGGAGTGAGAGGGAGAGAGAGGGAAGAAGCGTCGGCGGCTGCGCACGGGAGAGGGAGAGCTCGGCGGCGGTCGATGGACGGCTAGGGCTGGTGTGGCTAGAGGCGAGGGAGGCCACCGGCTTACATAGCTGCGCCTGTGTGTACGCGTGGCGGGAAGGGAGGCGTCGCCGCGCCGCCCCGTGACACGCCGGCCGTGAGGAATCAATGGCAAGGCTGACCGGCGGCGGCAGCGCGGCATCCTTGGCATTGATTCCCGCGGGAACCGAGGCGATGAGGGCAACGAAGTGGCCGTCTCGCTGACTTGGCGGGCCCGCGGCTCTTTCGCGCCAAAACCACTCGCCCCGACGCCCCCAGGCGCCCCCAGCGCGCCGGGTTCGGCCTGGGTCCGCCGGCGCTGATTTCGGCCCAAGCCGGCGAAAAACGGGCTCCTGGGAACGTGACTAGACCGTTTTTTTGACGCCGGCGCAAAAAAATCGTCTGGGAGGCCATGTTGGGGGCACGGCTGGAGATGCTCTAATCTTGTGCTCCCTCCGTCTCATAATATAAGAACATTTTCCAAGCTAAAACAGTTAAAAACGCTCTTATATTATGGGACTGAATATTGTCTTTGGAGGCCGAGCTCGACGGAGCTCGGTTTTGAAAAATTTGAATTTCATCAAATTTCATATTTTCTACGCTTCAAAAAATTCTGAAAAAATACAGATATACATGAAAGCATAACACATACGTGTGTAAATTTTCAGGGCAAAATACAATGAAATGAGGGTTGTGCAAAAAAGACAAATTTGAGGCTTTTTAACACATGATACTATTCATCTTCCCAAGTCATGAATTTGTCTTTTTTGTACAGCTCGCATTTCAACGTTTTTCATCCTGAAATTTTACACACATACACATAACATCCTTGTTTACTACACCATTTTTCAGATTTTTTTAAACAGAAAAGTTTGATTTTTGATTTTTTTTAAAAAGGCCTCCATGGAGGCCGAGAGCCAAACGTTCGTTCTCGACGGAGCGGGCACTATTTTACTGAAGTGAAAGTGCCAGAGGCAATTCAGATACCAGTACATTCTTTTACGGGAATATGGATTTATTCATCATATGATTATGATAGCACATTCATTTACAAGTTGTGATGAAATACATCCCGGTGGATCTGAATCCCAGACAGCTGATGTTCTAAACTAAAAGCACCGAGAGTGCGAATATAGGGGGGTATTTTGTGTTTCGGGAAGTCTGAAGAAAAAGGATTCTCAATCGGTCTTCCCTTTTTACCTTAGAAAAATAACTCAACCCTAGAATGAAATGCTTGTTATGTACTCCCTCTGTAAACTAATATAAGAGCGTTTAGATCACTAGAATAGTGTCCTAAACACTCTTATATTAGTTTACGGAGGGAGTAATATTTACTTAGTTTAACCTGTATATGTTTTAATTTTGCTCTTTATCCAACTAGTCATTTCTTTGCCAAATTTGCCGAAGCTTGTGCTATTTTCAATCCAATCGTGGATATTATGCTCGTCATACCTCCAAAAAGATTTGGTTCTTGGGCCAAATCCGTACCAACTCCTAAGAAGAGATTTAAAGACAAAGACAAGCCATGGCCTGGTTTGGGGGGAGCGACTACAATAGAAGAAGGGCCACAGGTGCAAAAATAGAAAAAGGAACCTGGTCCGTTGGATTACAGATCGATGGTACATGTTGAAGTGTGGGATCTGTATCCACTGTTATCTAACTTTTGCAAAAAGGTCCCGGCAATTCTGATTGATTTTTGCAGACGGGTCACCCCTCTCCCCCATCCCTTATCTCTTGCACACTGTGGCGGCGATCTAGATCCGGCGGGACGCCGTCGACTTTCGCAGTCCGTTCCCGGTACTCCGGCTCGCAAGTCGTCTGGATCCGCCTCCCGGGCACCCTCGACGTTGCTCTCCACATCAACCCAGCAGCCGCTGCCAAGGTCCACTCCCCCAGGGCACCACCTCGCCTTCATCGCGCCGGACTACGACGGATTTGTAGCCGGCCGGAAGACCCATAGCACAGACGTGCCCGAGTGGATGCAGCCTGACGGCCACACGTGCCAGGTCTTCTTCCTCGACCCTGACGGTGAGTGATTCATTCTCGGGTGATGCTTAATGTTCGTTGGATTCCTATTTTATGAACACTATTTACAGTTATAATTGTAAATTGAACTTGCTATCTCGGTGATTTCTCTATTCTTGGTCTATACGTCCCACGGTCTAGCAGTGGCATGTTGATTAGTAGTTGTGGTATTGTATATTGCTACTCGCTGATGGCAAGTTTGGTGGATCGATGCTAGGCTCCTTTCCAATCAGCTGAAGCGATGGATTTTTCTCTTGTTTTGGTTTCGTACTGATTATAGTGTTGGCCTACTCGGCTCTCCTGCTTTCGTTTGGCACTATATCCGATACCTTCTCAGCTTGCCCAGTCCAGGGGTTACTCTAGACTTCATCTAGTATTAGACTGAAACACGAATTGAGTTCGTTAGATGTTTCTTTCTTTCTCTATAGCAAGAAATCGGAGTGGGGAGCACTTTTTTCTTCAAAACAATATTGTGATCATGCATCTGAAAACACATGAACAGAAATATTAATCACTGCACAAGCTTGCTATGCTTATACTAGATTTTCGAGCAGTTCTGTATATTGAAATCTCATCCTCTTCTCGGATATTGTACACGGGAACAAACTAATCTCATCTACCTGTTAAATTACCTGCATGTGAAGTGCTTGTACGCACAGGACTGAAATTCGTTAGACTTGCAGTAGGTGCCACTTCACTGATTTATGATAGTTCACTATCTATTTGTAATGTCATTGAAACTAAAATCAAGATAGTTTTCGTTTAGTGAGACAATTGTATTAGCTTTTTGGTCGTACTCATTCGGCTTTTATGACACTACGACTGTAAAAAGAACAATTGCAATTTTTTTACCTTTTGTATATAGAAAAGAAGACTCTCTTTCTGTGTATCTTTTTAATTTGCAACATTAACATTGCAATCTTGGAATTGGTGCTGATTTTCTCAATTTCTGTTGTCCGTATGCTGGATAGATTGAAGCTCGTCGAGAAGAAAAGAAGACCTGGAATTCATCAAAAAGTCGCACGCAAATGCAGCATTTGTAAGGAACTGGTGCTCCATGATGCAAGGACATGCTCTAAGAAACAAATGACACAACAGTAGAGGTTTGTGCTTCTTGCTTTGTAGACTACCTATTTTTTTGC